TTACTATAGAAAATGTAATGTTCATTGAAACTGTACAGCCCCCACCCCCACTGGTTGGTGAAGTATAATCCACTGAGGGTAATGTAATATATCTGGAAAAATATAGGACTGATCGAAGTTGGACCCCTCTCCCCGAAGTAGGATTTTCAGGCTTGGACTTTTTTTTCTTGGCTTGTCAAGTTTTTTCGGGTAAATGATTTTTTTTTCCTGGCTGACCTCCTCTTTCAAAAAAAGATGCTACGTCACTGGAGTTAGTAATTTTTTTTAATCATTCCAGGGCTAGAATTCTATTACAAAAATCTACCAGTCGCTCATCTAAATCAATTGAATATGCCTTAGTGAGCATGCATGGGCACATATCAGTGGCAGATATGGGAATCTTGAACAAGGAAGGGGGACGGTATATGTTGGAGACCAAGGGCGGAAAGCGGAGAAGCTCTCAGGCTTTATAGTTTTATAGAAAAAAGTTTTCAACTTAATTCAGCTAAGCTTATTGTGAAACTAATGCAATGTCCTTCAAAGTTTAAGACTTTCATTTAAAAAAAGATTCAAAATAAACAGAAAAAAAATGATTGCTGCACGACTCATAATATTTGATTCAAGATTGTCAATCATTTGTCGCTTAAAGTTTTCATTTAAAGATGTCATTCCCAAATCGCTGAGAATCTCTTCTATGACAGTTTTCTCTCCCGCCATTTTTAGTGCTTGCGGAACGTGGCAAATACGTTATGCTCATATAAAGGCCGAGGATACCCGTGTTCGCATAACGTAATAGTGAATCGACATAATGTAGAAGAGTGCGCACAGTATGGCATGAGCTTTTCACATCAGTTAATAAAAACTAAGATCTCATGAAAAGTAAACATAACGAAATGCAAGTTGACGAAATATAATTGTAGGATGTGTTAATGTCATAAAGAGTTGACATAATGTAAAGGAAAGTTAACACGATGCAATAGTAGTGTGGGTTAATGTCACAAAGAGTTGACATAATGTAATGGAAGGTTGACACAATGGAATAGTAGTGTGGGTTAATGTCATAAAGAGTTGACATAATGTAATGGAAGGTTGACACAATGGAATAGTAGTGTGGGTTAATGTCATAAAGAGTTGACATAATGCAATGGAAGGTTGACACATTACTATATACCCTCCCGCTTTTCAAGCGGGGGGTATAACAATAATTATAGGCCAGGTACTTTCATTTCCTTAAAAAAGTTAATTAAATATTTAAAATATGTTTAATCCACCAATCGCTTAGTTATATCATCTCCAGCGTTAAGAAAAGACACTGAAAAATGAAAGAACTACGAACTCTAACTCTTGATTCCCGCCTACATTTTGCACCCATGAAATTCAATATTAATGGCAATTTGGCCATTAAATATTTGTTTAATACAAAGAACAGTTCTATAGTAATTGATAAATCATTTTGATTCCAGCGCTGTAGTAAATTATCATTAATTCCAGCTCTTGAAAAAAGGGGGGTAGACGACATCTTTTAGTGAAATCGAACTTTCAAGAATCACCATATTTTGAAATAGTCTTAAATATGATAAAATGTATCTCATATCTTTTCTTATGTTTTACGCAAATAAATAAAGCATATATAAATTAATAAAATACAATTATTCAGTTGTAAATAGTTTTAAAATTGGTGAAAAAACAGGATTTGTTTTCGTTTTTTGTCTATAAAGATATGTTCCCCCCGTGAAACACAAAAAGCTTTGGCATAAATTTGTAAAATGACAGTCCATATTACCTGTAAAAAAGAATTTTTGTTTCACGGGTGGGGGGGGGGAGATGTTTTTAAAATATTTTCCGTTTTTCGTTTATTTCTATAGTAAAAAACACATGTTTAGCCAAAGTTATAGAGTTATCTCTCTTTGGTGTCCGAAATAAGTAACGTTTTATGAAAATTTATATTAATATCTATAAAATTTTGAAAATTCATTCGAATATGTTAACTTTTGAGAATTGACTTAGAGGTAGGCAGGAGAACAAAACTATCGTTCGTGGTTCTTTTTAAAAAATGTTATAAACAGCAAGTGCAATTTAAAAAAAAATAGAAGTGGGATTCATTGCACTCGTTAGAAGGGATTTTTTTTATTCGAGCTTTGTACAAATATTAAAAAGTAATCTATTCTTTCGGTATTCAAAACTTTAAATATTTTCTATATCTTGGTGTTGACATTCGTTTCTTGAATGTTTTCAACCTCAGAAAACACAAAGAAAAGCACAACAAATAGTTGTATTTTAAAGAATTTTACTTTGCTGTAAAAATGTTTATTATAATTTGACATAATCTAAAACCTGCACAATCTGTCAGGCAATATATGTTAGAATTTATCTAAAGAAAGATTTCTATTCTTTGGAAGGTACTCAACTGTAGAAGAAAACATGCTAGAGGTTTGTTTTTGTCAAAGTTTTCATAAATGTTATCGATATGTCCGCGTAGGTGACTTTATGCTACATGCAGGTAAAATGTGTTATTCATACGCCTTTAAATAGTAATTCTAGTCAGTGCACAAGTCAAAGTATGTAGAAATATTATTTCCGTCCTAGTAAAAACGTGAGATGTAATTCGAGAATTACTCAAAATATGATGACACATTTTGGAAAAGTTAACTTCAGTCGTTACTTTTTTGTGTGTAAAGGTTAACGCACAAGATTATAAAGCTCATTTAATTGTTCCATTTCATTTTATTATACTTTCATGTTAAATACTAAAATCTGATAAGTTTAAACGCAGTTAACAATCCGTTCTATTACCCTCAGCCTTAGCAACACACGTGGCAATGGGTAACACAACGGTAATGCCACATGCGTGGAAATTATGCGCGTACGGTTCACCGCAGAATTCTCAATACGTCAGTTGCACGTTTGAAAGAACTGGAATAAACTTGATGTAAATAAAAGCTTGCGTCTGATGTAGCTTACTTTAAAACAACAAACGACGGACAAAACATGCTTGCGAGTGCTAGATAACAAAACTTTAGATGATAAAGGACTCTTAGAGTATCAAATAAACAATAAAGAGGTTAGTAAATCTTTTTCGAAGTAGCGGGGAGTTTGAAAGCTTTCTATAAACGTGAATATAGACAATCGACGATTTTTTTTACAGGCATCTTTTAATCAAAAATGACATTCAGTATACTAAAATAAATGGTGCTTGTTTTGGAGGGTAACAGTTGAAATTGACACCCCTCGGAAAACCATTGTCAACCTCCGCTGACGCGTCGGTTGACAATGGTTTTCCTGGGGGTGTCAATTTCAACTGTTACCCTCCAAAACAGGCACCATTTATATAGTATTATTTAAGGTTACATTTTCTACGCTAAATACAAGGCATTACGCTATAAAGCAAAATGTATTAAGACAAAATATAATCATTGTTTTGCTGCACAGTACTAGTGTTCAACATCAAACATATTTAACTTCAATTTTAGATTAAATCCGAACTCAACTTATCATTAATATTGAAAAATGAAAAGGGTTTGGTAGGAATTTCATGGGAAAGGAAGGGTAGGAAATGTATTTAATGTACTTCATATAAATTTCTTTCTGTATGTACAGATAAGATGATAAACACTCGAAAATAAACTTATAAAGTGTATCTATCAAGTTGTGTTATAAGTTATCTAGTGACCCAAATGCTGCTGTTTTCGTCCGCCGTCATGCGTTTACATTTGAATATTTTCAGCTTCATCCCTGTATCTTCTGTACCAAATCAATTCATTTTGACGTAGAGCATTAATGTTTTAAGGGGAACAAAAATTGAGAATGTCATGGTCCCTACCCATGGGACGTAGGGATATTATTGTTAAGGTAGTATTGCACTATCAACGGAAGTTTGTACATGACAAGAATACATTTGGATCGTTTGTATCATTTTTTCCTACTGAAAGTAGTAATTTACACGTATGTATGCCATTAAACATAAACGTTATCAGATCAAAAAGGATGTTGTCTTTTCATGTTTTTTTATGAAAATAACTTCATAATATGATCTCTTTATTGACTTAGATGATTTCTTCAAGAGTATTTTAAGACATAATAAAAGAGCAAGTTAAGACAGTTTGTGAAATTTATCTCATTTTCTTTTTTATGTTTAGGTCAGTACAATGCAAATAAATGCTATATTGCACATTGTATTCCATGTGTTGCAACATATCCGAGTTGCATAGGAAAAACCGACGGATATTGGCCGAAGTTTGAATACACTACAACTGGCTATTATATAGAATGTCTACAAGAACGTCGTATTGGAACGGGAGCCCTTATTATATGATTTTATACAATATACATTACCCTGGTTTTCAAATAAAAATTATATTAATATTGTGTTTAAATAAATTATATGTTAAGTTAAAAAGATTTCTTTTTTATTGCATAAATGTTATAACATTTTACTTGGCACTTAAAATGTGAAAACATTTCTGCATCGGTTTTGTTAGACTTCGACAAGCAAATACAAATGTTTAAATAGGAGGAGGGGAGACGTCTAACCAACCAATTACAATGATTTAGTCTTGTTTTAAAAAGAGAGAGTGGGGGGGGGGGCAGCGTTTAAATGAACATGTTCAATGGTAAAAAGTTCTGTTTGAACAAAAAAATGGAAGGCCATTTTGAGCTTTCTACCCCTTTCCAATACAACGTCCTTGAAAAACTCTGGTGGTTTCACTATTTGTACGATCAATGTCAATCAATGTAAAATTAATTTGTTCTTTTTGTGGATTTTTTTAGTTTTAAGTTATTGGCATATTTTGTGTGAAGATGAAGTATTTTTTTAATTTCTAAATAAAAAAAAAAACTTTTGAAGATACAGTGTATAAAACAACTCATAATTATGGTCCCTGGAAAAGTAAAATCATTATTTTTATTATGTAGATGCACTTGTACTTATATTTGATTAAAAGTCTCTTCTTTCAAATTTTTTCTGTTATTTTTTTAAACTAATTTTTGAAAACGGCTATTGCACATATTTAAAATAATCATGCCAGAAAATATCCGGTTTTTTCGCCTCAAACTACTTCTCAGTTTCTAAAGCATCGAGTTACACATTTACACATTGTCACCTTTAAGTCTTTTGAAATGTTCATTTAAAGATAATGCATTTGTACATGATTCGTCTTGTAATCTCACAGACAAAACATTAAAGGAGTGACTCCAACAAATAAAACTTTACAGATTTTCCACTGACTTTCAAACGTCGTTTAAAATGGGGAATATTTCAATTGCATTACTTGGTGTTGCAATTAACGTGATTCTATTAAGTATTTTCACACGTTCACAAGTAATTTACATGACCGAGGAACAGACATATCAGGATCTCAATGCTGAAAATAAAATTGTAGCCCTGGAACATGTTTTGGATATTGCCAACGAAAAACTCAGAGAACTGGAATCGAAAGTTGTGAATTTAAAATACTCGTATTCCGATTTACTTAAATTATTTGGATCACAAGTATCGCCGAACGGTAAGAATTGTTTTAAAAAAATTTAATGTATTTAAAGAAATTTTACTGATTGATTGTCTCAATATAAATTATATATTTGAATGTTTTTCTTTAGATGCTACCATAGACGAAATTTGTCGAATTCACAGAGACCTTGTCGTTCCTCACCCAACAATCTGCCGGCTTTATTACAACTGCTCGGGATCGATTCTCTCTGAATGCAGATATCCATTTCTTTTCTCCAAGGAGTCAAGAGAATGTAAAAATTATACCGAAGTTGATTGTGGAAACCGGACTGTTTCAACCTGGGAATGTATGTACATGTATATGTAGAATTTTGTTATTAAGAACAGAAACATCTAAATCTGGTTTCTTATATGCTTCAACATTTTAATAATCACCGACGACATGAATAATGCCTTAATCAGCTAGAGTATTCGTCTTTCATAATTCAAATACCTTCTTTTATTTTACCCCTGTATGGATAATAAAATGCATGTTCTCGTTACATAAGAATGATTCTCGACTCGTATTTATTTGTACAGGGTACATGTATCTCAGTATCTCCGATAGGTATTTGGTGACGCATAGGTTAACAAAAAATTTTTAAGACTCAAACAAAAACATGTTTATTTAAATTCAGAAACATTGTACCACTACGTGCTATATAAATTGTTTTAACAGGAAAGGAAAGAATGTCTACATTCAAGAAATCATGTCAACATGCAAGATAATTGTGTTTATATTAACATGCAAATTACAAATCATTTTATTTTTTGGAAAACTTTATTTTTTAAAGCTAAATTTCATTATAAATATAAAAGGCTCTTTTGATTTTTTTTTTTGAAACACAATTGATTCACATTTTAGTGTAAGTCTTGGTATGTTATACTTTTCTGATATGTTTTTCCTGTTTATTTTTCTTTGTTAAGTTGCATAGCTTGCCCCTCAATAGGTAAAAAATATTAGCGGTAAAATTCGGTCTTATAGACAAATAGGTATGCTCCATTATGAGTGTTTACACCATTACCAATGGAATTCATGCAACAAACAGATCAGGAAGGTGATGTCTATTTTTAAACCGTCAACTGATTATGACTTACTTTTTTACCTAAATAAACAAATATTTACAGGAATAATTAAAAAGAGGGATCCAAATGAGGTCATCCACTCAAATGTGTTTCGTGTCCTCTGATTGGTCAGTAAAAATGCGAGTACATATTAGATAGATAGCACCACGGATTTATCAGAAATCACTTATACTATCACGTTGTAATGACCTCATTTGACCTTCAGTACTAAGTGTTCGTAACATTTTACTTCTATGAGCATGTGACATGCTGGATAGAACAGTCAAGTAATGTAGAAATGCAAGATTATTCGCAGTGCGTGAGGATATCAAAACTAAAACTCTGCCACGGTGTGTAAAGAAAATATTTTAAAAATCCAGCTAAACCCCTCCCTTCACAAATAGGGGATGTAGTAAAATATTTTTTGGCTTGATTAAAGATAGAAAAATTAAATACTCGGTACGTCTTACTTTCAAAAGTCAAAGCTGCTAACGTTTCTCACATTGTTAAATTTAAAGGGGAATGAAGACACAGTTTAAACTGATTTTTTTTTTACAACTCCTAACACTCCTAATGATAATCAAAAATTTGAACATCATAAGTTGATTTACAAAGGAGAAAAAGAACTAAATTTTTTTTTCATAATGTAAACTAGTGCTAATTGTAACGGGAACCGTTACAGATGTTCCCCAAAAGCTCCCCAACTCCATTTCGGTGCCATGTTCCCTGTAAGCTTCATTAAATAAGACAAACTCTGTGCATTTTTGACTTTTACAACGCTTTCCCAGAAGGATACCAATTATATTCAATTTTTAGCATTGCATCCAAGCGCATGTGAATGCATGTGCGTTATGACCATATCATCTTGTCTACAGTATTTATTTATTCTAATATACTATATATTAAAGCATTCAGTCCAAAAGTAATAAAAATCACTCATTCAAGAGTATTTTTAAATATACTCGTTTAAAATGCACGCAAGTGCGTGCATGATGATCATACTTTCTTGTAGGAGTCCCTTACATCTATCTATGTTCTAAATCCCATCCTGTTTGGTTGAAAAACAAGGGAGTTATAGCCATTTAAAGTTTCAGCTAATCAGATTGCAGCACACGTGCATGCACGTTATTTAATGATTTTTTATATCATTTTGTAGGATATCCTAATGCACTTACTATATTTTAAATTTCAAAAAATTTCGTCAAAAACAAAGGAGAAATAGCAATTTAAAGTTTCAGCCAATCAGATTGCAGCACACGTGCATGCGCGTGATTTCATGATTTTTTTTCTATATCATTTCGTAGGATATCCTAATGCATGACTATATTTTAAATTTCAAAGAATTTCGTCAAAAAACAAAGGAGAAATAGCCATTTAAAGTTTCAGCCAATCAGATTGCAGCACACGTGCATGGGCGTGATTTCATGATTTTTTTCTATATCATTTCGTAGGATATCCTAATGCATGACTATATTTTAAATTTCAAAGAATTTCGTCAAAAACAAAGGAGATATTGCCATTTAAAGTTTCAGCCAATCAGCTTGCAGCAAGCGCACATGCGCATGCTTTCATGAAAATTCTTATATATCCTGCGGTAGATCTTCATAATATAGGACTATGTTCAAAATTTCAAAGGATTATGACAAGAAACAAGAAAGTTATTGAGACTTTAGTTTCAGCCAATCAGAGCGAAGTGCACGTGCATGCGCGTGAGATCTTGCTATTTTGACCATGCTATCTTGTTTATACTACTAATGTATCATTACATTATGAGTTTCAAAAAATTTCATCAAAAAACAGAAAAGTTACGGCAATATCCATTATATTGGTAATTTCACCTATTGCACGTGCGCGCTCTTGCAAGCACGTGCGCGCAAAATGACCTTTGTTTGGCAACTCTACATAACATGCCTACTAACCCTAAAAAGGTTTCACCTAAGTCGGATGTGCAGTTTACAAGATCACTCGTGGACAAAATTTTCCCAGGAAGAAGAAAAATAATAATAATAATAATAATAATAACTAGTGCTAATTGTAACGGGGACCGTTACAGATGTTCCCCAAATGCTCCCCATCTCCCTTTTGGTGCCATATTCCCTGTAAGCTTCATTAAATAAGACAAATTTTATGCATTTGAGACTTTAACAACGTTTACCTAGAAGGGTACCAAGTTCATTCAAATTTAGCACTGCACGCGTGCGCATGTGAATGCATGTGCGTAATGACCATATCATCTTTTCTACACAATCTGTATACTTTAATATACTAAATATTAAAGTATTTAATCCAAAAGTATTAAAGAATACGCTCATTCAAGTGTATTTTTGATTTTATTCATTTCATGTGCACGCACGTGCATACATGAGCATGGTGACATACCTTCTTGTAGAAATCCATTACATCTATCTATGTTCTAAATCCCACTCCGTTTGGTTGAAAACCACGGGAGTTATAGCTGATTAAAGTTTCAGCCAATCAGATTGCAGCGTACGTTCACGCATGTGTATTGATGTGCATGGTGATCATACCTTCTTGTAGAAGTCCATTATATCTATCTATGTTCCAAATCTCATCCTGTTTAATTGAAAACTAAGGGAGTTATAGCTATTTAAAGTTTCGGCCAATCAGATTGCAGCGCACGTACACGCACGTGTATGGATGTGCATGGTGACCATACCTTCTTGTAGAAGTATATTATATCTATCTATGTTCCAAATCACATCCTGTTTGGTTGAAAAGCAAGGGAGTTATAGCTATTTAAAGTTTCAGCCAATCAGATTGCAGCGCATGTGCATGCACGTGTTTTCATGATAATTTTTATATATTATTTTGTAGGATATCCTAATGCATGGCTATGTTCAAAATTTCAAAGGATTTCATCAAAAAACAAGAAAGATTTTGAGACTTTAGTTTCAGCCAATCAGAGCGAAGCGCACGTGCATGCGCGTGAGATCTTGCTATTTTGACCATGTCTCATTGTCTATGCTACTAATATATCCTTATATTATCAGTTTCAAAGCATTTCATCAAAAATGTAAAAAGTTACGCCGATGTCAATTAAGTCGTCATTTTTCGTGTTGCACGTGCGCGCTCTTGCAAGCACGTGCGCGCAAAATGACCTTTGTTTGGCAAATCTACATAACATGTCTACTGACCCTAAAAACATTTTACCTTACTCGGATGTGTAGTTTACAAGATCACTCGAGGACAAAATTTTCCCAGGAATAATAATAATAATAATAATAATAATAATAAGAAACAGAGTAAAAACAATATGTTCCCCAACTTCGTTTGGGGAACATAACTAGGGCTAATTGTAACGGGAACCGTTACAGATGTTCCCCAAACGCTCCCCAACTCCCTTTTGGTGCCTTATTTCCTGTAAGCTTCATTAAATAAGACGAACTCTATGCCTTTTAGACTATGACAATCTTTTACTAATAGTTTATTAAGTATATTCAAATTTATGCATTACACGCATGCGCATTTGAATGCATGTGCGTAATGACCATATCATCATGTCTACACTATTTATATACTAGAAATAACAGCGTTTTATCCAAAAGTATTAAAAAATACGTTTTAATCTAGCGTATTTGTAATTCTACTCATTTCACGTGCACGCACGTGCATGCATGTGCATGTCGACCATATCTTCTTGTAGGAGTCTGTTATGTTTGTCTATGTTCTAAATCCCATCCTGTTTGGTTGAAAAACAAGGAAGTTATAGCCATTTTAAGTTTAAGCCAATCAGATTGCCGCGCACGTGTATGCGCATGTTTTCACGAAAACTGTTATATATCATACTGTAGGACATCCTAATGCATGACTATGTTTAAAATTTTAAAGCATTTCGTCACAAATTAAAAAAAGATATTGCGATTTTTGTTTCAGCCAATCACAGCAAAGCACACGTGCACGCACGTGCATGACGACCATACCTCCTTGTGGGAGTCCATTATGTCTGTCTATGTTCTAAATCCCATACTATTTGGTTGAAAAACAAGGGAGTTATAGCCATTTAAAGTTTAAGCCAATCAGATTGCAGTGCACGTGCATGCGCGTGTTTACATGACAATTGTTATATATCATATTGTAGTACATCCTAAAGTATGCCTATATTTTAAATTTCATAGCATTTCGTCAAAAAACAGAAAAGATATTGAGATTTTTGTTTCAGCCAATCAGAGCGAAGCGCACGTGCATGCGCGTGAGTTCGTGCTAATTTGACAGTGTCACATTA